ACATCAAAAAAATGAAACGCTAAAATCTTCTGTTTGATATTCATAAATTTATCCCTTCACGACGGAAGGAAACCAAACACACTGAGAGCATTTTGTTTTCACGGTTGGAAAGAAACTCCCAATTGAACGCACCTATTCCATTATACATGATACTGCTGGAATACCAAAAAGGACTTAAATAACATTGAACATGACCGACAATAAAGGAAGAGAAATTTTTTTTTCCATAGTTCTTATGTTCACGAAGGTTTTATTTCTGCTGTTAGTTTATTAAATGATTTGATGAAAATACTTGTTGGTCTTGGTATATTCAATCGTATTATTTTTAAAGAATTAGCTTCTGATTGTTGTTGCAAAAATTGTAATTCTCAATAACCTCAATATAAGGTTGTTTAAGGCCAGAAAATATTTTTACATTGTAAGAAATTTTTCGAGATAATGGTTTAGTGATGCAAATCTTACTAATTAACCCATAGCTGGGGGAGAAGTGGTAGATTCATATATTTTGCAAAGGGAATTTGCGCGTCAGGGAATATAACGAACATAACGAGAATTGAAACCCGGCTCTCTGATTAACAATTCCGAGTCATTATCAATTCAGACAGCCGCACATCTAAGCTTACAGCACCTGATATTCACAAGCGTTCACCCATGTAGATACTCATTGCTTAACTTTGGTGATCCTGCGGAAACCGGTGTTTCAACGCAATATGGCCGTAAGCCGCATCGTCATGCTGATTCTGGGATAGATGGTTCAAGATTTAATTCCACCCAAATCACACATTCTTCAAAACATACATCTAGCCTGCTCTGTGATCAGATGCATGGTCATTTTTCGTGCACTGGCGCTACAGAATCGCAAAGAATTGTGCGCAATAAAAGAAAACCAATCACTTGAAGACTTTCAACAACAGCAACAACTAAAATGGATAGCATATGTAACTCGAAGAATAATGAAATAATTAAAATGTTGACGTTCTACATAACTTCAAACAAAAGGTTAGTAAGGAAACCCCGTTAATGCAACAAAGAGAGATAACAGTGAACTTGGGAAACCTATTTTTTCCTGATAAGTTGTTTGAATAGAAACATTTGAAGTATAAATTTCAGTGGCACTGTCTGCCGTGTAAAAGCAAATTTTCGCCGCGAAATGAACGGTACTTCGCTCTCCGGATTTTTTCTGCCGTGTACCATCAAGTTTCGCCGCGAAACGAAATGTACTTTAGTCCCCGGATTTCGTCTGTCGTGTATAAGCAATGTTTCCCCGTGAGATGAACTGTAACTGTGCTCACCGGATTTAATCTGCCGAGGACAAACAAAGTTTCGGCGCTAAATGAACTGTACTTTGGTTTCCCGATTTTCTCTGTCGTGGAAGGAAATGTTTCTCCGCGAAATGAACTGTACTTTGGTCTCCGGATTTTCTCTGCCGTTTCGGCGCCAAATGAACTGTGCTTTATTCTCCGGTTTTCCTCAGCCATCTTCAATCAAAGTTTCGACGTGACATGAACTGTACTTTGATCTCCAGATTTTTTTTTTGTCGCGGACAAGAAAAGTTTCGCCTTGAAATGAACTGTACTTTAGTCTCTACGGATTTCCTCTGCCGTCTACAATCAAAGTTTCGCCGGGAAGTGAACTGTAATTTGATCTCCGGCTTTCGTCTGTCGTGGACAAGCAAAGTTTCGCCGCGAAACGAACTGTACTTTAGTCCCCGGATTTCCTTTGCCGTGTATAAGCAAAATTATCCCGTTAAATGAACTGTAACTGTGCTCAGTGGATTTAATCTGCCGTTGACAAGCAATGCTTCGGCGCTAAATGAACCGTACTTTGGTCTACGGATATCCTCTGCCGTGTAAAAGTAAAGTTTCCCCGCGAAATGAATTGTACTTCGGTCTCCGGATTTCCTCTGCCATGTATAAGCAAAGTTTCGCCGCGAATTAAACTGTACTTTCGTCTCCGGATTTCTTCTGTCGTGGACCAGCAATGTTTCCCCGCGAAATGAATTGTACTTCGGTCTCCGGATTTCTTCTACCGTAGACAAGAACAGTTTCGCCGCGAAATGAACTGTACTTCGGTGTCCGGATTTCTTCTACCGTAGATAAGAACAGTTTTGCTGCGAAATGAACTGTACTTTCGTCTCCGGATTTCTTCTGCCGTGGACCAGCAATGTTTCCCAGTGAAATGATCTACTATTTGGTCTCCGGATTTCCTCTGCATTGGACAAGCAAAGTTTCGCCGCGAAATGAACTGTACTTTGGTCTCTGGATTTACTATGCCATGGACAAGCAAAGTTTCGCTGCGAAATGAACTGAACTTTGGTCTCTGGATTTCCTCAGTCGTGTACAAGCAACATTTCGCCCTTAAATGGCCTGTACGCTGGTCCCTGGATATCTTCTGCCGTGGACAATCAAAGTTTCGCCGCGAAATGAACTGTAATTTGTTCTCCGGATTTCTTCTGATTATTTGTTCTCTCAAGGAGGCTACTTGCCTTGAACGCATATTC